CTGCTGAAGACCAGGACAGAGCAAATATGGAAATGCCCAGAGTGCTGTGATGTTAGTTCTGATCAGGTCAGCCCCACACACACACATTCAACAGGCATTAGAATAAAGTATCTTACAGTCAGAAATGTACTTTTCTTTTATCTTCCATCAGACCATGACCTCTTCTCATTTGGGTTCAAGGCCCCACAGTGGAAAGGAGGTGGAACAATAAAGCCACTGCCCTTAGCAAGCATATCATAAATGGCAACTAATTAACAGTGTACTGAAATTGGATGTATTATATTAAGCCGAAAGGAGCAAACCACACTGCAGTTTGTAAACCAAAAACTCAAAGTAACCAACCATCTGTTTATGGGCAAAAGCAGAAGAATTCTACCATGATCACCACAGACAGTGCATTTATAAAAGTTAAACTGTTGGTGTCACCAACTAGAAAGAGAAGGCCAACCAGAGAGATGAGTGGAGGCAGTTATAACTGCAGCAATTATTCTTCTGGTTGTTCATCCCCTTCTGGACTGCAGCCCTGTTTTAGAACCTGAGTGTTGCATGTGCATGCATTTAACAGACCTGACACATTTGTGTGCAGACTGCTGGTTCCTTGCCTCTTAGGCAGATGCACTCAGACTTCAAAGGAAGCTGCCAATTAGATGACTCTTAGACTTGCTTTTAGTTAGGAAAAGGGGTCTATTCTTGTTTTCCCTATAATAGGGCCCTGGAACACGAGGAGTCTGCAGCAATGAACCTAAAGGGCTCAGAATGCTGAAAAAGAAGAACAAGAACAACTGTGAGAGAACCAGCTCGATTACACCAGATGCCCCTCTGAAGGCAGCTGGCTGTTCACCCACACAAAGCAGAAGAGCTTTACCAGGGGTTTCCAAAACCCTTGTATTCAGGGGCATCAACACAAAGAAATCATTGGGTTGGGAGCTCAAGGGACCCAATGGTGAATCCAAAATCTAGCCATAATCTCCATAATCTGCAAAAAGTATGACATTTCTAATAAATAACAATGAAAGTGCGTTGATTTTAGACCCCCAAAATAATTTTCTTTGACTCTTCAATCAGTATGTACCTACAGAAAACACTGTTTCTATCAGATATAATCAAATTCAACGTCGGGGGTTTTACCGGTCCTTAAGCTTTGTTTAAGGGCAAAAAAATAATACTTCTTAATTTGGGTGTGATAGCTAGAGGTACCTGACCTTCCAGGTTCCGTTTACTATGCTTACATTCATGAATTGTGAAGCAGACTCTGAACTCATGAACTTCCAAGCATAAAGCAAACGGTGTAACCGCTTTACCACAAAAACAAAGACACACTAAAAAAAAAATTGTAAATTAAAAAGTGAAATTAATAAAAAGGTAAGTTATTCTATTTGATTTATTGACTTATTTAACTGTCACACATACAACAGAATGATAACACAGTTATTTAACACAAAGATAACAATATCTCATTCTGAAATATTAATTACATAAATTCTAGTCTCAAGTGCAAGAGTTACATTCAGAAAATGTTTCTCATGTTTTCTAAATATATTTACAGGCAACACATTTACCACTTAACACATATGTGAATGCGGTTAACAATTTATAGATCCTTAAGTACTAGGATTCGTTCCTGCTGCAGTCGGTTTTAAAAAAAACCGTATTCGTGGTTTTCTGAGACTTGTATGAGAATTATACCATGGAAGAGATGGGTGCCTCAACACATAATATGCCATATTAATAAAGTAACAGAAAATGTATTGATCAGCACTCACTAAAAGTAGTAGAAAGATAGAAGAACCCACTAGACAACACAAAAATCAAAAGCTATTGTTACTCCGCCGGGAATCGAACCTGTCACCTCCAGACGGCGTGTGCGCCTTGTTATGGAAACAAGTGCACTAAGTACATGGTCAACTAGGCACCCGTGGATTTCAAGCGGTACGATAGACATGGCCAATAAGATACCTTTTTTTGGGGGGTGGCTAGTTGACCATGTGTTCTTAGTGCACTTGTGCCCTCTGGAGGTGATAGGTTCGATTCCCGGCACATTAACTAGAGCTTTCGATTTTTATGTTGTCTAGTGTGTTCTTCGATCTTTCTACTTCTTTCTATGAGTGCTGATCAATACATTTTCTGTTATTTTATTATTACATAATATTTAACGGCCACAAGGGTTCTCCCTCTGTTTATCTATGAGAACCACCTAATATTCCCAAAGACATCAGTGGTATACTGTAGCTAACTATCACTGTGGAGAAGGCACAGACATTATTATTTAATTATTATTTAAAATATATTATTAGCAAAACTCTGCTAATAAACAACAATATTTAAAAAAAAAAAACACTGATACAATCTTTGCTGGTTTAAAAACATGAGATGAACTTACATACATATGATCAGTAACAAAGTTAAAAAAGACAACAAACAAAATGGTTTGCCCACTTGGAGAGAATACCTCCTGATGCTACACCATACAAGGCATATACCAAAAGAGGACGATGTAGAGCAAGAGGCAGACCAAGAACAAGATTAGAAAATAACATCAGAGAAACTCTGATGTGTCTTTGGTCGAAGCACACAGAGGAGCAAGAAGCAGGACCTTATATCTTCCCTGACACCTGAAGTGATAAAAGAGGACGTAAAGAAGATAAAAATAAGAAAAAAGTTAACCAGCGGTATGACCGTCCTGTGTCAGCAATTGTTTCTAGTTTTCTTATTTCTTTCCTTCAAATGCAAATTTTTTTTTTTTTTTTAGTTAAAGTGTGCGCCAGTTGTTAATTTTCAGGACATCTTCACAGAAAGTTGGAGATTTTGATTTCAGATTCTTTTTCTTCTGCTTAATGTTTACCAGCTGTGAACTCTGGTGTAATTTTCTGGCTGTTCGTTCACTTCTGGACTTTGGTCTTGTTCTAGAACTTGTAACTTGAGTTTTACATGTACATTCTGGCTTATTTATTTGTATGCAGACTGTTGGTCCCTTTCCTTTCAGGCAGAAGCAGTCCCGCTTTGAAGGGAATACTCTTCTTACAACATGCTTACTGGGGGAAGAGGGTCTATCGCCCAACCCCAACTCAATGGGGGCCCCGGAATCCGCACAGGGAGATTTGAGATGTTACAAGTGGTTGTCAAGACATTTCTCTATTTCTCTGCCTTTCTCAAACTCATCCCATTTAATGTAAATATCTGGAATAGATCTCTGTTATTATGTCCTTTCTAATCAGTGGAAATTATTGAACCCAAACAGATATCAATATCCAGTAGTGTCAACCAGCTGAGTGCAAGCTGCGACACTGTGGGCTGTGAACGTTATGCTTATTGTCCATACTCCTCCCGAGATGCATGTTGTAATCTGCATATGACATAGAAAAGGGCAAAAGGCTGGCTGGCTGTCAAAGAATTAGCAGTGTGCTCTATGAAGTAATGCCAGTGCACCTGCTGGTTTGTCACTGACTGCTGCTTCCATCAGCTATTTGAACAGTGACAGACTCTACATGTTGTGACTCTACTGCTGCCTTATGCATTTGATGTGTGTACAAACTCTTGTATTTGGCTGAGACTGCTGTGTGTTTGACTGTTCACACTGGAGAGTTATGTGCATTCAAGGTGGTTGTCACTGGGGCAGGAATGCAGCAATTATGGGGTATTCATCTGTGATGAAGCTTGAATCGAACCCTGACGATATCTTCTGGGCCCACTAGGGTCATGGAGGTGTTTTGATGGAAGCATTGGCTCACAAACCTGCCATCTTTCTCTGTCTTCTACTATTTGAACAAGTGTTTAACAATCCAGCACTGACCATTTCTCAACAATCCAGCACTGTCCATTTCTTAACAATCCAGCACTGTCCATTTCTTAACAATCCAGCACTGTCCATTTCTTAACAATCCAGCACTGTCCATTTCTTAACAATCCAGCACTGTCCATTTCTTAACAATCAAGCACTGTCCATTTCTTAACAATCCAGCACTGTCCATTTCTTAACAATCCAGCACTGTCCATTTCTTAACAATCCAGCACTGTCCATTTCTTAACAATCTAGCACTGTCCATTTCTTAACAATCCAGCACTGTCCATTTCTTGAAGTCATTTTTCAAGGTTCTTCTTTGTGCCCTTCTCCCCTCCCCCCTTATTTTTTTTTCCTACCCCAATATCTTCCTTTGCAACTGAATCATGTCTCCCTATGTCTTCCGAATCAAGCTAGCTTGTAATATTTTACCTTTGCTAAAAGAGGCTCCTGATCTGCTAATTTGTTAAAAAATTTTCTATAGTATTATATTTGAAAGCCTGAATCCTCCTTTTCCTTTCTGCAGAGAGAGTCCAACTCTCCTCCGTTTCAGAAATTCAGCTGGGACACTGACCAGATGCTTCAATGATAACAAGAACATTTCTACTTCTTTTTCTAGTGTCAGAAATATGACAACAAATTTTCTAAACAACAAATATTTTGCCAGATAAACATAAATAAATACCACATGTGGTAAAGCGAAACACATTCTTACAGTAAACTGGCATTCTCGCATTTTCCATTAACACAGTGAAAAAAAGACAATATAAATCCATATTCAAAAATCCAAATTCAAAAGCAAACTAAACTATAGCTCTGGGAGATTTGAATGGTGGCCCTTGGAGACCTAGCATGGCCTGCAGATCACTGCCTCTTATGTTGTATTCATTTCTTTGTAAGCTGGGGATCTGGTCTCTGGCTCGAGGGGGTAGCCATTTTAACAATTCTGGCCCCAGAGGAAACTTAGTAGTTGAAAAGCCCTGGTACAGGGATTTTTATATCTATGTCCAGTTATTTTTAATAGTTATATATTGCTAATTGTTATAGCCATGTCCAGTTGTTAAAAGAGTTTAACGCAGGTAAATTTCACTGCTGTGCCCAGCAGCTACTTTTCATCAATGTTCAATTATTTTCATAACTTAGAGGTGTAAAAATGTGAAAAAACAGCAACTGAAATGTGCATGATGTGAGGATGACAGTACAGAAGTTATCAGCTTTCTTGTCACAATTTCTTCTCTTTCTTCGGTGGAGCTTGCAGCCGATTAGCCTGAAAACAAAAAACAAAGTTAAATAATTATTATGTTACATATTTATGTGGTGCAAGACTATAAATTAATGACACACTGTTGAAACTTAATGCCAAATTTATAATTGGACATAGCATAGCTGATGTAGTTGGTTTTCAGGTTTTCAACATCATCAGCACACTGCAAGTTGGCTGCAAATCGACCTTCAGTGCAGACTGTCTGTTCCCACGGTGCAGTCTAGATATCCACATAACAACATTGACACAGACACTTGGAAGAGACCCGCTGCAGACCGACTCCTCTGGGGGCTTTTTGGAATAAGCCAAACACAGCAAGCTGTAGAGAGAAAACCTCCGAAAGAGAAAACCAGCCTCAGAATGATAGTGTATCAATATTTTTATGTGGACTATGTGGCAGAGACTGCCACTCCCCCATTGGACTTTACAGTCATAGTAGATGCTGTTCCCGAAACCAGCGGTACAACTCCATTGTCCCCAGGGACTGACGGTTGCCTACAAGTCCTACAGTCTAACATTCTCTTGACATAATTCAACATTCATTTCATAAATTTTATTTCAAAACTGTCACTCTCTTGCATATTTTTCTTACACTTTTTGTCTCAATCCTGATTTTTATTTATTATCGTGAAAAAATGAACAAGTCATGATCACAGGAGTCACAGATGAGGTGTATGATCATGTCTTGATTATGGTCAAACCTTTATTTTTCTTCATCTTCTTCTTCAGCAATCTCTGGTTATGTGCTTAATCCACTGTGGGCCATAAACTGGGATGTCATCTCAAGGTCTCTTAGGTTCCCCAAAGCCTATCTGTCAGGTTCGACTGGGAATGGCCTCATGTTCCTTCACCACTCCTCTAGGAGAGGACAGTCTCGCAAGACATTTTCTGAAGTCTGTTTAGTATGAAGACACTGACAGATGCTGTCTGGCTCATACATAACTTATATATGAGTGTTTACTGTGTCAGTATCCAGTGCATAAAATGAAAAACTGTGACTTTATCTGTTCTGTTCAGACGACTGAAGAAATCTTTTTTTTTTTCATAGTTATAACCTGCGTTTTTTTTTTTTTTTTTTGCCCATCTGTTTCTGATTTTCTCTAAATGAGGATTGACCAAACCATTAGGTTTTTATCTATTCATTACACTGCAACTACCCTGACCACATAGGAGGTTACTTTGTAATTGTCGGGTGCCATAATATAACCATCTTACACAGCTGAACGGGTTGTCTGAGATATGCTCTTGTTGGATTTGCATTTTAAAAAATAGCTTTTCAAGTCAGGGGTGTCACTATCTCAGCCTGCATTCCAGCAGGGAGGAAGTTGAAAGATACAAATATTTATCTATCTGGCTATTTTCCCATCAAGTTTTTCAACTCCGAGTAGGTTTTCAAGTATATTTTTGTCTTAACATGCTCAAAAAATATAGACTATGTCTAATTTATCTGACCTATTTGCAGTTTTTATTTCTAGAAACTGGTTAATTTAGATATTTCCTTCTTCTTGGTATTCACCAGCTGTAATCTCTGGTAGAGAGTTCTAACAATTTTAGACTACAAAGCGTACATTCAAATCAGACCACAAATCTCTCTGTGCAGGTTCCTGAGCCCCAATGTAAGGAAAACAACAACGTCATAAGAGTCGACCAACTGGGAGCTTCATTCGAAGTTCGGGAGCACCTGCTTGAGAATCAAAGAACTAGCAGTTTGTACACCGATAAATCGGGTATGTAAAATAGATGTGCACAAAACACTCAGGTTCCGGAAAAAGACTAAAGTCCAGAGGTGGAATAACAACCAGAACTTTCCGCTGAAGTTTACAGCAGGTGAACAGGAAGAAGACCACAAATTCTTTTTCAAATAAAAGCAAAAACCATTTTCATATCATGAGACGTTGTTTATGTTGTGCTAGTTCCATATTTGTTAGTCAATTCACACTCAATGTGTGTTGTTGTTAGTATCATGCCAGCAGACTTTACTTCCTAGGAATTTTTCCTAGTACTCATTTTACTACAGGTGAAAAACATCCTTGCCTTAAATGGGATTTGAGCAAAAAAATAAAATATTACTGTCCCATGACCTGTGGATTTTCCCTGTTTGGAGTAGGATATAAGAAAGCATCCAATTCTGTTTTAATATGACTTTACTGTGGATGCTTTTATGTATTCTGCAGCTGCACTGAAATTCAATTTATTGGGCATATCTCTGTCACATTTTATGTGTACCACAAAAATTATGCCCAGAACAAAAACCATAAATTTTTGCAACACAGATTTATTATAATTTAAGAACAGCATAAAAACATATCAAAGTTAACTACTGATTATCAAAACTGACAGCTAATTTAAATATAGTCAAATATAATATTAAACAAACTTGCCTTGACAAAGCCTCTTTTTCTCATCAGATCGTCCACCTTGGCATTATAAAAGTCATAGACAAACTGAGCCATCTGCGGCATGTCAGATATGATTATAGGAGATTCACTTGGCAACTCCTGTAGCTGTTTCAAAAAAAAAAAAAAAAACAACGGATTAATAACTGTGTTGATAATATGATTTGCTGGCAGCCGCCGTGGTGTAGTCGCTAGACGTTCGCCTGTGGATCGGAATGGCCCTGAAACCCATACGGCGATGGAACAAATTCAAGAAAGGTTAAGAAAGAAGACAATGTCTGGACAACTGCTAGTGGTATTAACAGGTGAGACAAAGAAGATGATGATATATTGGGGACATCTTGAGGAGAAGTGAACAGAGAATCACTAAACAGGCAGTTAAATAGAAACAAATGGACTGAGGAGGTGAGGACATGCAAAAGAAACCCTAAAATGAACGTTGATGAGTGAGGCCAAGGGTGCTGGACTTGGTTCCAGCTATTATTTAAAACAATTGCAAACAACAGAACAGAATGGAAGAAGAGACTGTGAGCCCTATGTGAAGAATACTAGCACAAAAGGATGAGGCAAATGATGATGATGAAAAAAAAAGATCAAGGGGTGACAGTGTTTCAGACAGTTGGTTTTTAATCAGTGGTAGGTGACATCTTTGATGGCAATATCATTTTTATGTAACAGTGAGAACTTCTTACCTTTCTCCGACACGGGTAAGTTTCATTTGGCAGCAGATGCAGGGTCAGTGGTCTAGACAGCAACTGCGTGGAAGGAATCAATAAAATATTATTGTCCTGCAAGGAAAATTATTCAGGATATTACAGTGAAACAAATACCTTTAACTGTATTTGGTTATGTCTGTCAGGTTGTTGAGTCCAACAATGAATCAACAAGCCCAATAATATCTTGAGGCATCCGAGACGAGGTTTTATAGAAGAATCCTTGGAATTCATTGGACAGCTAAAAAGAGCAACCCAGATGTTTTAAAAGAGGCGAATGCTCGAAGAAAACTTATCACAAACATCAGAATGAGAGAGTATCATTTTTTGGTCATGTTATGAGAAAACGGCAAATGGAACATGTTGCGATCACTGGAAAGATCTGTAGAAAAAGAGACAGAGGAAGACAGCGTAAAAAGATTTGTGACAGTCTTTTGTCATGGCATGGAGGGGTGTCAACACACGAACTGATACACACAGTTGCAGATAGTGGAATGTGTCTCCTTATGATGCACGTAATCAGTTATCTTCAAGGATTAATTTCTTTCACATCATCATTACAGTTTATATTTGTCCCTGGTGTTCTCATCATTTGCATTTACATACCTCCAATGACAGGGATTTTATTCTATAAAATGCTATTTATTTTTAAAAATTTAGTCTTTGCTTGTCCTATTCTGTTCTTTACCTTTGTGGAAAATTTGCCAGCTGATATTAAACTTTTTTCGATAGATGCATTTGTGATCCAATGTGGTGTACTGGCTAGACACTCGCCTGCCAATCCGAAGGTCAGAAGCTCAAATCCAAACATTACTAGACTTTCTTTTTTTTCTTTTAAAAATGACTGTGGCTGTTGTTGGTGGTGGATGTGCTTAAAACGTTCAAAACAAGCAACACCTGACCACCCCTTGAACACAGGACAGCCCGTGGTAATGAAAATAAATTCAAGCTAACAAATGAGATAGGGTGAGAATCGTAAGTTGTACCCAAATGAATGCCATTTACTTTTAATTGTATATTTAGACGTCATCCCATTCTTTGATATTAACCTTACGTCTGCCTTTAATTTAAACTTTCTACTTTCTATGACTGTATCTGCATTTTCTAGTTGCTTCCCACTTGTCTTATAAAGTCGGTGTCATCAGCACAGCCTAAAATATTTATATTATGACCAGAATGTCATGGAAAAGGTCAATGAAAATTGTATGTACAAATAAAAATCTTACGGTGTTGAATGTTGGAGTCAGCTCAAAACAGTTGCTGAACAGGGAAGCTCGAGCAAACACGTACAGACCAAGTCTGGCCCTGGACATCGCAACAATCAATCGCCTTACATCCCTGTCAATATAAACATTGGAACAATTAACTCATTCACTACCAAACAACCTATAATGTGTTCATTAACAAATGCAAACACAAGACACTCCTATAAGAGAGATCTGAGTTTGCATAGCTGACAGCAACAATGTTGCTCCATTCCTGTGAGCGGCTGTCGTAGGGGTTAGAGCACACTAGTTACCCCAGGGGCCTGTAATGCTGTTAAGATAGCTCTGGACAGGAGGCAAGAATCACACATGATATAATTATTTATTTGTAGCCAAGTTTTCTAATTTTGAATTTAGCTTCATTCGGTCTGCTCTTTTAAATTTTCAACTGCCAAATGATATTTTTTTTAATGCATACAATCTGTCCATGTTGCTCTTGTCCAAGAAATGTAAACATCTGATCAACTATTTCAAATCCGGGGAAATTAAACCATCGTTTTCTTATCTGTTCTAGTGCACACGGTCAAGACATTAAAATGGACCAGATCTGTATAAGCTGCAAAAGGTGCATGCTGTTAATTCTAAGCAATTCCAGCCGTGGAGAGAGGAAGTAGGAGAGAAACAAATCTGAAGAACCTTAACTCTTTTAATTCCAGGCAGCAGGCAGTTGCAATGCTAATTCCTTCTATCCCAATGAGATGAGCATAAAAGAAACGCTTAGTTAATCCTGAAGGATATAATAGGGACAATGAGGTACAAATAAGCCAAGGAAAAAAAAAAGGGGGTGGGGAAATCAATATCTGTATACAAACAGGCCATATCTGTAAACAGATACGCACGCAAAACTCAAGTTCTGGAACAAGACTAAAGTCTAGAAGTTGATGACTGACCAGTTCTTTCTGCTGGTAAGCACTAAGAAAAAGAAGAAGAAGACTGGTACCGAAAAAGTTTAGGTATATTAAAGATCAACATCTTTACTGCCTCATATTACCACTTTTTTTATGGTGATGTAGGCATCGGGCCTTGAACCTGGAGATTTAAGGCCACATGACTAGTGCAGGTACGGATAATATTCATGCCCCCTGACAGAAAATAATCCTTCACCTTCTCAACCATTTGGTCAGTCGAAGCTCAAAGATTACTGAACGTGCCACACACAGGAGCAGTTGGTCAGAATGTAAGGCTCTCATGCAAGCAGGAGACCTGGGTTTGAATCTTCTGTAAGGTAGTGAATTTTGTCTCGGGGGGGGGGGGGGGGGGGGGGGGAAATCCTAACATGTACAACCCATGGAGACAGCACTAACATGTACAACCCATGGAGACAGCACTAGCTATGAACCTTAAATCTTTAAGCTCAAAGACACCCCCTCCCCTTCCCCACAAGCAAAAGAGGTAAATATGGGCAGTAATAACAAAAACAAATGGAACAATCACTCACCTGATATGACCTACAGTTCGAGTCCTGACAAGAGACAGGAGAATAAAATTATTCTGCTGGCCCTGATACCTGTCCACAGTGGTCACCTGTTCATGAGAAACATTTATTCCTGGTTAGAGATGCTAACAAGCCATAGTCAAGCCAAATTATGAACAAATACATAAATAAGTTAAATGTAAGGTAGAAAAGGTTAGCCATACAAGAACACACTTATAAACAACAAGAAGGATAGGTGTCATTAGGAGCACAATGTTGAACACGATTTTTCTGGAAGACCAAGATATTAGATACATTTTGGTTAATCTATTTTTAATATTTTTAAATTCTAAATAGAGTACATTAATGTAGTTCATTTTTTCCCCCCTTTGTTTTAAAAGAGAGTTACTGAAATAAATAAAATAGAGACAGCTGAAATATTTCAGACACTTTAAAAGACAACACACTTTAAAAAAAAACAATTCTGGAGGGAAAGTAAGAAGGCAAGACAGCAAGAGATAGATAAGGACAACATCAATAGATGGATTAAAAGCAGCCAGAGAGAGGACAAGAGACCGAACACGTTGGAAATCCATTGCAGCCAACCTTCAGTCTGGAGATGGCACTGACTAAAAAAATGAAGCTAGAAACATTGAACTAACAGGTCAAGAAACTATACTGGCAATAATGAACAAAAACTGGTCCCCAAAAAAAGGCTACAACTTTTTCTCACCTGTGGTATATGCACTGATACTACAGTGCTGAATATCGTCACAGTAATGCTGCCTATAGAATGGCTGGGGCCTTGCATACCCAAAGTTGTGCATGCAATTCCATAGAACAGTAGCATAAAAATAAACAATGCTGAACTAAAACAGATCTAGAAATCAGACTATGAATGTTGAACCACAACAGGTATAGAAATCAGACTATAAATGCTGAATTAAAATAGGTATAAAAAAAGAAATTATAAATGCTGAACTAAAAAAAAAATAGGTCTAGAAATGAGACTGAAATGCTGAACTAAAACAGAAACGAGACAATACATGTTGAATTAAAATGGGTCTAGAAATAAGACTATAAATGTTGAACTAAAACAAATCTAGAAATGAGAATGTAAATGCTGGATTTCATGTTAAGCTGAAACAGGTCAAGTAAATACATGACGAAAATACTGAACTGAAAAAAAAGCTAAGAAATTAGACGCCTCAGGTGCATCAGAAATATGGGAAGAGCGACCATATTTTTACAAAAAAATCGTCACTAGGTGGATAATGTGCACAGCATTATGCCGGCCATCCATCTTTACTTCCACAGGACATACATCCTGCTACCCATTTTAGGTTGGGTCAACCTGGGACCCCCATACCATGATAAAAATCCACGCACCCAGCTGTGGGTTTTGATCGTGCGATACGGTGGAATTACAAGTCTGGCTCGCAAGACCTAAGCAACAGACACCGAGAGACCATAAATGCTGAACTAAAATATGTCTAAAAATAAGGCTGCAAATATTAACAGAAGCTTAAAAATGTCCAAGACAAGATACCTTATGAGGCCGACCAATGAGGGGGTTGTTACCACACCTCTGCTGAATGACATCTCTGATCAGATGCTTCTGTCCATTGTAAGTGGTCAGAATAGAGATCTGCTCTCCAGGGTATCCCAGCATTCGCATGTACATGAACACCGCCACAACATATTCAGCCTCTGCCAGATTCTGTGGAATATACAGTACAATTTGTTACAATGATTGGCAAACTTATCCTCTAGACCAGTGTTTCCCAAACTTTTCTTGGTGGCGGCACCTTTTTCAATTAAACAAATTCCACGGCGCCCTAGCCTAAGTCAAAGTATGACTATTCATATGTAAGAGATGCACACACACACACGCACACACAAAAAACCCTGTCTTCTAATATTTTGCGGCGCCCCTGTGAAGAGGTCGCGGTTCCCCAGGGTGCCGTGGCGCACAGTTTGGGAATCACTGCTCTAGACCTTCCGTTACCACTAAATAATCATAGTGAAAAGGGCAATCATACTACGTTATAATGATAAAAAATACTTTTAGCTGTTATAGATTGTTGCCCACATATCCACTATAAAAAAAAACACTGACCGTTTTCATGATGTAGGCGAGGCTATTCAATTAGGTTTACTTAGGGTCCAAAAGTTTAGAGAGAACAATAATGAAGGGGTAAATACCTGGGAAGGGAGGAAGAAAAAGGCCAAAGAGAAAATGGGTGCGGATGATCTCCAGATGGGTGTATTGGACATGGGACATCTTGCTTGTGACTGAGAAGTTTTCTGTAGGGTTGTTATGGAAGCAAGGTTTTGCAAAAGACACGCTACTGACTGACAGGGGTCTATATGATGAAAATGGGGATCGACAAGGACCAGAGGCCTAGCGTAGAAAGATAATTAATACAATACAACTGGCAATTATCCGCAGGCCACTTCATAGGCCTCTGCGGGCTAGATTTGGTCCATGGGCCACCAAATGCATAGCCCTAATAGGAATTTCTTTGGATAGCTGGAAGCCAAGGTAATTTTTAAAAGGTCCATCTCAATGCAATTTGTACCCAATACCTTCAGGCCAACATTTCTGCCATTTATTTTTCTGTACAAGCTCAAAAAGTACTGTGAATTGGTGGCCAGTTTGAGAAGCAATGTACTAAAGCACCTGGACTTGCGTGGAAAGGAATGGAAACGGGCACTAAAACAACTGGGTGAAGCGGCTGAAAGGGCTCTGAACTGGCTGTGGACACAACCGAAAGTCGAGGGGGGTGGGCTCAGTAGACTGGTCCAAGCCCCTAGTTGAAAAGAACTTTACATCCCTAAAAGCCAAAAGTTTCCAATCAAGTCTACCAGTGTCTTTCTCTGCCAACTACCAAAGTCTAACGTCTGTCCGATGAACCAGGTGGGCACTTGTCACTCTGGTCCTGAAGGTAGGTGGCTAATTTGCTAACACAGCAACAATATATAACACCAAACCTCATAATATCTGCTGCAAAGCCACCATTCCATCTTGTCCAAGCGTCGCTAAGCGCAGCAGATGTCTTAGGCCTGGAGTCATAAACCAGGTCGACCCATACTCTGAGACTGTCTAGGAGGATAATGGGCCAAAACAAATGTCGACGAGGGACCCTTTTACTGATGAGGAGGAGGGGGAGGAGAAGATAACAAATATCCACTTATGACGACTGTTATTAAGTTCCTACCTGATAAAAGTAAGGGTTAGGTTCAGACTCTCCTATGCCATTAAAGTCACCAACGTCAATGAGCTGATACTCGAACATGAACCCTGCATTCGCCAATTGGAACTCTGGCCTCACCAGCACATGTGGCAGTGAGCCAAGTTTTTTGTACCTCCAGTTGTACAAGTTGGCCAAACTGGAAATCAAATAAAAAGAAACATTTACTTATAATGTCAAAACCTGTTCTAAGTTTGGTGCCTATTGAAAATACTGGTGAGGAAAAAAAGACAGGACAATGCAGTGTTAGCAGGAAGTAATAAACATTTTACATAAGAATCATTTGAATCTTTGAGGTTTAAGGTTTTAAACAACTGATCAACATCATGGCACACAGGTGTAATCCATAAGTGCTCTGTTCTGCTTCTAACCCAAGTCTGAATCCGAAGAAGTTCAGCACAGTGCATAGGCTCTGTAGCACCAGCGAGGGTCCTAAAATATTTTAGGTAGATTTCTATCTCCACTTTTTGACTGGGCAGCACTGTTAAGCTACTCTTTTCGATTTCCAACCGCCAAGGGATTTTTTACGTGTGCAACAATGCACATGGGCGTCTGATCTCGCTACCCAGAGACCAGGGGGAATTACTTGAAGTCCAAGCCCACGTGAAAAAATCCCAGCCCTGACCGGGGACTGAACCCGGAACCTCTAGCGCTTGAGGTGGACACCATGCCTCAAGACACACAGCCCCCTTATCTGAATCTCTTCTGCCAAAAATGATTAAAAGCATACAATACAGAGAGGTTGGGTCACTCATTACTCGAGGTATTACTGAACAGCCTTTACTTATTTTTCATTTTTTTTTTAATATGCATATTTGAGTGAAACAGTTAAAATGTCAGGTCTGAAACCTTGTAAATCACTTGTTTTTCTTTTCCATATAACTTTTTGGATACCAAACTCACCACACATTTTTAGGTCACACCTACAAAAAAATATATAATGAAAAGAGAACGAGAAGTAGATCAGCGAGCTTCACAATATGATGAACACAAAAAAGTGAATGCTGCGGTTACAGAGCCTTCATCGGCACATTTCAAAAATGAAACAAAACCATACAAATACAAAAATCACTTCACTTGACATATTCCAGAAGCAACCATGTGGATGTTTAGCCAGTAGAATTTCACCTAAGATAATATACTCTTGTCTCCTTCTAACACTGACAGTTGCTCCTACTTTATATAAGCTCTAACTGTAACAATTAAATGGATCAGAGAGAATTACATTTTCTCACTCTGTCTCTCTCATTTGTGTGTACACACCACACGCACACATACACAGGTTAAGACAAACCTAGCCCGTGCTCGTCCCTGTGCATCCAAGTCCACCGTCGGAACACCCAGTCTCACCAGACGTGTGAACAGGGACTGCTCCATGTTGGAGAACTTCTGGAAGGCCATGTTCTTGATGACAGGAGGCAGCTGGTGATGATCACCGATCATGATCCACCTCTTCAATCGGTTGTTGCCGTCCTTCGGATTCTGAAGAATAGACCTCAGTGTTAATCAGTGCTCCAAAACCCAGTGCCACTTTAAATGAGATGTGGTATCACTGAGCTGTTTCAGGTAAACACATTCGTTTTCTGCAACCCTTTAACCCCGCTAACACAGGAAAAAAAACTGCCAGAATCCTACAACTCTGTAGTTCATAAATTTCTGAAAGAACAAATTCCTTTTTAAAAAAATAGTTTACATTTTAAACACACAAAAATCTGATTTAGGGACCAAACAAACAAAAATACCATACAAATAAAGCAGAATAATCAATAGAAATGAATGCAGCAGGGAATTAACTGGCTTAGTCTGTCTGAGAGTTGAAAAACAATGATAGTGTGAAATTACATGACCCTATGACCCAGCTGGTAACCCAGTGAATCATCATCATTATCAATCAGCAGGTTGTTTACAGAACATCAGTCTCATCACAGCATGCCTGAAAGTTCTTTACAGAAAATCAGTCTCATCACAGCATGCCTGAAAGTTCTTTAGCCAATTCTCCAGCCCTATGTGCTCTCCCAGCCAACGCATCTTAGATGTCTTTTATCTAGGTTAATGGAGGTCAGCCTCCGCCTCATTTCAATCTATGACTAGTGAAGAAAATATATTATCAGTATTTCAATATAAGGGTTAGAAAAAGAATTAATACTTGCTACATACATCCAGTTTTGATATATGGCTGTAAGTCCTGGATAATCGGTGGGCAGGCCAAACAATTTCTTGAGGCCTCGGAAATGTGGTTTTACAGAAGAATGCTTAAAATACCTTGGATAGCTAAAAAGAGCAACCAAGAGGTTTTGAAAGGCCGAAGCCCGAAGACAACTTATCACAGACATCAGAAGTAGGCAGTTTTCATTTATTTTTCAGCCTTGTTATGAGAAGAGGGAAAATAGAACATGTTGTGACCACTGGAAAGATCTGTGGAAAGAGGGATAGAGAAAAACAACGAGAGACGATTCTTGACAGTCTTGTTGCAAGTCATGGAGGTGTGTCAGCACACAAACTGATACCTACTGCAGGAGATCGCAGATTGTGGCGAGGCATAATCGCCTACGCCAGTCAGCAAGGCACCTGATGATGATTTCATAAACAAAGCCATTCTTTAACAATCTAAACGCTCTAAATGCTAATTTTTTTCATAAATATAATCGTTCATTTGGGATATTTTTTCCAGGTCATATTGGTGTGTTGGTAAATGAGCAGGCAGACAGACTGGCCGGTGCGCCATATGGCGGTGAATTGATGTATGACGAGCTAGATGTTATGAGGGCCTTTTGGGAGTGAATGAACAGTGCAGAGGCACATACAGATCATTACAGTCTGAGAATAATGGTACTTCGGGGAGTTATCAGGGGATCTGGCCGATGCCCAGCACTCAAGGGAAAGGCGAGACAGATGTATAATCAGACAGTTACTGGTGCCATCGGAACTGGAACTCTTTGCTTGCTGCTGAATATGGGGACAGAGCACTTATAGGAGTGTCCCTAGTGCTGTGATGTTGATTCTTAATTTAACAATCATTTCCAGTCTTGCTAAATATGCTACAGGACAACCTTTTGATCTTTATACAAGATTTTAATGAAAAACTAAGTCAAGTGATGAACAATTAAAACTCACCTGCAATAACAAGGGGATGAAAGTTTCGATTTCTAGAATCTGGGCAGACTCCTCCATCAAAATGTTGTCAAACTAAAACACCAAATAGAAAATTAAGTAACACGCCATAAGATCTGGAACAATTAGAAACAATCAACTTCACAACTACTCTAATTTAAAAATATATGTAGAAGTCACAAACATATATTTTTAAAATGCAATACTTTCATATTTGTGCATATTTTCCTCCTTTCCTCCTGACACACATTCGTTTCTTTCATTCTGTCGCAGACATACTTTTTGTTTACAAGCTGTAAGCTTCCCTAAATACAAGAGAATCTCTATGACAAAAGTAGCCCATTTACAAGATGAAAAGCATACTCATTAATTAAAAAAAACTGTCAAAAGCCATTAGATACATTTTTTAAGTGCTATAAAGAACTTGTATTTTAAAGTGAACACGAAACATGGACAATAACCAAAGCTCAGAAAAATCTAGTGATATCGGAAATGTGGTTTCTGATAATATGGTGGCAGACAGCAAAAAAACAAACAAGGAAGTTCTTTTAGAAAGAAACGAATACTGTGAACTGATAAGAGAAATGCCAAGATTTTTTGAGTCACTTTATGAACAGAAATAAGTTTGAAAATGTGACAACAGGTAAACTTGATTTGGGAGATGACAAATGGGTAACGAAGTGGATATTTTGGACACATCAGATAATTAAAAATGAACACCCATACTTATAAGCATGGCACAAGATAATCATGATGAAAGAAAGGCACTAACTATCAACTGGAACAATGTCAGACCATGAACTTTTCTGAGTTGGTTCCGGGACCCTGAGGAGTGGGAGTGCCCACCTCCTATGCCCCCCTCCCCCCACCTTTTCCAAAAAAAAACATGTCATAATAGGCGATAAACTATGAGTTTGCTGAAATCGGACATTGCAGCCTAGCTGTGAACCATAACACAAAGTGCCAACTACTCTTTCAAAGGGGAAACACAGAAGAAGAAGGAAAAAAATGAACAAACAAACAAACAATTTTTAAAGGGTCACAAATTGGGCACGTTGGCCCGTCTTACATTCAGCTCTTCCAAACACCCATCTTTCACATAGCAGTTGTATTTTATCAATAAAGCATGATCGTTCATGAAACAATAAGCATATTATGAATATCAAGAAAAAAGGAGTAGATGAAGAAGAAGATGAGGAAGTAGATGACGATAACCCTGAACTCACCTGGAAGCCAACGGTAACTAAATCTCTTCTCTTCAAGGCAGCATGTGTACAGGTCATAGCAATAATCTTGGCCTCTTTGATCAGCAGGTAGTTGGCCCTGTCAGACCCGCTGCGAAGCAGTTCAAAGGCCCGAAACTCCTGGGTCCACAAAAATATTGAAATCAGTTAACTTCTTTAAAAGTAAATACTCTCTGTGACACGCCACAACATACTGGGGATATGTGGTTAGATACATATTTCCACTATCCACACTAAATAGTGTTGCTGTGCAGATTGGAAGTTCGTGGGTTCAGGTCGCGATGGAGCCAAACTTTGTTTCAAAAATGACCTTGGCTCCCAGGTTGACCAGGCCTTGACTGAGTGAGTACCAGTTGCAGTCCTGGGAGGTAAAGGCGGTGGCATGAAGCTGACCACAAAGTTCCGATCGGTCTACAAAACATAGGTCTAGCCCTATATACCTTAGGGCGTGGAAAAGAGTCCTTTACTTTTTGCACAAAATAATAATAATAATCTGTATTTACAGTAAGATCAGTCAAATATGATTGTTTTACTATCTGTTTTCTGTTAATGCTCAATATTCAGCAGTGTATACCAAAACATTGTGCATTGGATTCGGTTGGAGGCACCACGAACACCAGCCTTATCCTAGGAAGAGAAGTGCAACCTGAAAACAATGGCAGGGCAGACCAGGCGAGGTTGTTGCAAGGCAAGTCGCCTCTGAGGCCGACTAACTAAAATCTGTTGTGAATTTATATTACAGGCCAGCGGCCTATGTGTATTCTCTGAAGGTGTAAGTGTTGTTTGTGTGTAGACAGACAATTTGTCATAAGAACTACGTGTGAGCCATTGCGGTTAATGCAGTAGGCAGCTCTGTGACAAGACCCTCAACCTTGGTTGGCAGCTGGTGAAGGGGGAAAGTACTGCTATTCAGATTCATCAGCTTCTGC